CTGAAGAGCGGAGCCTGGCTGCGTCTTTGACACAGTCAAGCAAAATACACTAACAAGCAAATCATGGACGTTGCCAGGCGAGAGCTGGGCGCGAATGCTATATGGTGTATGGTATATGGTATATGGGCAGCCCATGCTCCTACTATCATGTTTGCATTTCAAATTCGAGCGTGCCAGTTCTATTCATTCCATCCATGGACGCCGAACGAAATTGCGGGCTTCATACGGATGCGAATAGAGAAAGGGGCCAAGCGAAAATCACTCACAAAGAAAAATATAGATAGACCAACTGACTGACTGACTGAATGTCAGCCTGTTTGCTCCTGTAAATTGAGAACCCACCCCCCCCTTCCTTCGCAGAGGGCAGGGTTGACGTTAGTTTATTAACGTTTGGTTTGGGCTCCAGCCAACATTATTGACTCAATGACAGCAAACATTTACATTTTGCATGTTGTCAGAGCTCGATTCAATCCCCTCCGCCCTCCTCCTCCTCCTCTCAAGCCAAGCCTTTCGCCTTTGTACGCAGCAGCTTTGTGGTTGAGAATACGAATTTACTTGGCAGCAAGTTCTTTGTTGCTTTGCACCTTCTTCTTCCTGGCCTGTCAATTGATAGGATTTGATATATGCATACATATAATCCAGTCAATACTTAGTCAAGCGGCGACTTAACAAAAATACATTTAAAAAATAAATATATATAATAATCAGCTTCTAATATCATTTGCACCGGTATCCGATTTTAATATATTTGTGACTAATGATATTAAATTTATTATTTGAAATTGTTAAAACAAGAGCAACTCTCTTCAGCATACCGAAGACTATATGCCTTGTAGAAAAGCTTTTATACAAACAACCAATTGTTCATACTGAAGCCATATAATATATTAGTCCGATTTGATATTTAAGAAGAATAATAAAGTTCGAAATTGTTGCAATTAGTTAAGATATCTTGAAAAACATAACTATTTTCCAACAGATTCGTTCTTTAGAGCTATATGAAATACATCGTAGAGATAGTAAAACTCATTTGGTGAAGATTTCTTAAGAAACAAAGAAGTTGTTCTTACAAGAACTAGTTTTCGACCGATCTTTCCCATAACAACTATATGATATAGTGATCAGATCCGGGCAATTCCGATGCCGACAGGCAGACAGACGACGGAAATGGCTATGTCGAATCGTCTGTTGATATTGATCAAGAATATATATGCTTTATGGGGTCGAGGGCGCTTCTTCTTCTAATCGTTACATATTCCGCTACAAAACTATTATCCTCTACAATAGTAGAATAAATTCTACAAGCGAAGGTTTATATTGTTTTGAATTATCGATAGCCTGATCTGTAAATCGGCAAAGCTTGTCAAAACATTATCCAATACACTTACCATTTCATTCAAATTGTAGACCACAGGCCCAGCGAAGACACGAACCTACTGATCAACAAAAGCAAGACCTACTACTTAGTACTGGACACAGAGCATCTCAAACTGCTTTCGTATTTAGTGAGTCTCGGTTTATTAATTTGTTTACTTATCTCCGATTGTACTCTCCGCAGTTTAAGTAGCACTGAGGCCTTCAAAACTAGCTGCCATCTCAGCAGAAGTTCATTGAAACAAAAATGCTTAGTATACAAAGCATATAATATATAATTTCGTTGACACTTGACCTATATCTATGTGGCATTACAGAAGCTATTTACGTTTTTAAGACAAGCGTCTTTTGTGTGCTCTCTTTGTATAGCCACAATATATACCCCACTTAAACATACTTCTGGCTACAGGGTAGATTAATAATTAAAACTCGTCATGTGCTAAAATAATAACAAGCTAAGGTTTAAAAAACTCAACAGCTGTTTATCAATCTTCATTCAATCTTTTGTCATCATATTTGCAATGCTTAAGTGGAATAGGAGCCACGTCTGCGGCACTGAGCCTGGGGTATGCACGAGCCAGCCGCATTGCGGGCATAGCCCTCGACGCAGTAGCAGCCATCGGGGCAGCGAATGTGCCTAATTAGACAGGGCTCACCCAAGGTGGCGCACTCCGTCTGGCAGCTGGGACCGCACGGCAGGAACACCTCATTGCGTGGACAGTCGCGTGGCGCTGCAAGGGTTTGGAAAAGGATTGCAATTGCTGGGACTGCAAATTCACAACAATTACTTACTAATGGGTGGCTGGGCAGACACCAAAGCCAACAGACAGCCGAGCAACAGCCAGAGATTAAACAATTTGCAAGCAGACATCTTCAACTTTTGATATTTCTGTTGTGGTTTCAGTTCTAGAACTTGCCGACTACTAAATTGATTTGCATGAATCAGGCATGTTTTTATATGTGCCCGAAAATATTGGATGTGATTCTCACTGGGGAAGCACCTGCACACGCAATAATCACACATATATATAGACATTCGTGGGACAGCCGCAAAGTATGTTACGGAATTTAAAAAAAACAAGCAAGATCGTACTTTTATGAGAGAGGGATCGCGAGAGAGAGAGACAGAGAGAGTCAGAGCCGGGGGCCTAGGGGGGCTCTATTGTAATAATACATTAAATAATAAATCTTTAAAGCAAAATAAAAAAAATAATGAATATGAAATAGTTAACAATATATATATGTAAAAATATATCATTGTTAATTTCTATAAATAATATTCTCGATTGCCTAATTGGTTTCAATTAATCTGACCAAATTCTAATCTTGTCGCGTGATGTAAAAAATCATGATAATGAAATGCCCGTCTACCTGATTCTATCAGGTCTGCAAGCCTCGCTCCCAGCTCCCAGCTAGTTTTCGACATCTTTAAAAACAGATGACATAATTTTAAAATTTGATGAAACAATTGAATTCTTAATTTACAATTTTCCGTTGTACTGAAAACTCGGCAAGCCGTACATATTTTCATATTTAGGGTTTCGGGCGAAATTTAATAGATATTCAAAATACATTTAATGGCTTGGGACAATGTTAATTGTACTTTTGGTATTGGGTCGTAAGCTAATTTGAAAAAAGTGGTTTGGTTCGAGTTTCGACATGGCTGTTTTTAAGTTAATGGTTCGGTTTCGAGTGAAAAATAAATTTGAAATCGGTTCTGTTCAAAAACGGCTTACAGGCTAAATAGCCGCTCAGGAGTAATCTTAAGGAAAATTGGCATACAATAATTCAATCAAAAATGATGTAGTACAGCATCAGAGAATATTTCTGAAAGAGTATTAAATCTTCAGCAACCGATACAAATAAAAACTCTGTCTCGGTGCTTTTCCATTTATAAGAGGTAATCGAACGTTATCGATTGTCGCATGTCTGTCGATTGTTTGGCTGTCTGGCCACATTGCATGCTGCCAGATCAGTGGCATATCGCGCACATCTGGCAGCGCCGACGAGCGGCTCAAACAGGTAAACGGGTCGCAATACTTGTTATAGTTGTGTACCTGTTTTTTTTCTTCTTTTTCTCTGCCGCGCTCTCACGCTGCGAGCCGCCGTCTTCGTCTCCTTCTTCGTGTTTGTCTTAGTTGAGTTTTGCATGCGGCGCGTTCAACAACGAAGCAAAAAACGCAACGCGATACGGTTTTTAGTTCTTTTTTTTTTATGTTATTTTTTTCATTTTGTTTTTTTCACTGGCCGCAACGGGCCCCCAGCAACAACAACCACAACGGCGATTAAAGTGCTTATTTAATTTTTGTTGGCTGTGTTTTGTGCTGATGCGTGAGTTGTTTTGTGTCAAGTTCTGTTTTGGTTTTGGCCCATGTAAAATGGCAAATTGTGTTAAGGAGGCGATCAACAGGCCGCGGCCTTTGAACTCTGAAAGCTTTTGACATCTGTTTGGAGCTCTGGTCGCCCACTCTTTGCATCTCGCACTTCTTTAATGCTGCTCATTCACACGCGCCCCTCTCGCTCGCTCGCTCGCTTGCTCGCTCTCTTCCCCTCTCTCTCTTTCGCTCTCGCTAACTCCTTCTCTGTCACTCGGTGGAGTGCTAACCAGGCCATGCATTTTTCTGTTTTCGCAACAAGACGTCAATGGCCAAAGGCGCTGCCAACATCGTCGTCGCCGTCGCCGTCGCCGCCGCCGCCGCCGCCGTCGTCGTCATTTTTCGAAACGTTCTCGCTTTGTTGCATTCCAAAGTAAATGCTACTAATAACAAAAAGGCAACAACAACAACAATATAGTGGTAGTAGTTATAGTAAAGAGAAAAAGGAAGGCAATCCAAAGCGGCGGCCGCTTCCAATAAAATGAGGAAAAATAAAAAAGTTGCCTGACTTGTTTCAGCCACGATTGTGTCTGAACGTGTGTGTGTGTCGAGAGAGTAAAAGAGTTTTTTTGTGTGTGTGTGTGCATTGCTTTAAGGCGGTTGGCTCTGGGCATGCCCAAATGCCTTTCTGGCCAACTCAAAGGCTGCTGCAGCGGCCAGCAGTAAATTTTACATAAGTAAATAACACAGTTAAATACCAACAAATAACAACAATAAACAATTTAAATTACGGCAACGGCAACAACAACAAACAGACAATAACAATTTTAAGCAATTATTTATTATTACGCAAAACTCTTAAAAGCCAATCAAATATTTGAAATTAGTGAAATGAATGCGGCCATTAAGAGCGTCTCTTTGCGTGTGTGCGTGTGTGCGTGTGAGTGCGTGCGTCTGTATGTATATACAACAAGTTCGTTGCCTAAGTCATTTGTATGATAATGAGCCAAGCAGCAACGATTGCAGTTTATCAAACCTAATCCTCAGGCAACTTTCAGTACAGTAGACCTACAAAAGAAAACTGGCTAAGAGACATTAAGAAACCATCAGCTGTGATCATACAAATCTATAGTACAGTTAGTGTATAGAAGTATATGAAACTGCAAACTATGCTTCACACTCCTCTATCAACTCTATCTTTTCCATCCACATAATCCATCTATACAATGCAAGTGTTTGAAATTTAATAAAAAAAATTTAATTACCAACAGAAAAATCTCACGTACAATCAGAAGCCGTTCGCAATACAGAAACCTAAACAAATTATATGAAAATACATATACAAATTCAAATACATTCACATACACATACACACATATTTGTGTGTATGAACAACTGAAAGGCGCACAAAATTTACGACGACTGCGTCGAGGCGTCGGCGACTCCAGTTCGGACGCTGTCGCCACATTCCATGGTAAGTGGCGGCCATAAATTTTCAGTGAAAATTTCGTGGCCCGAAAATGCTTAAACATGAAATTTATTAGACAAAACCAAGGAAATTAAAAAATTTTAATATGCGCTTATGTATGCATATGTATATGGTGCATAAATCAAATGAGAGAAAACAGAGGCACAGCATAGCATATATGAACATACATACATACATACATTATATTACCATAATGGATCTTCTATTGGGCTTTTTATTTGAACAATTTGCATTGATTAAGGGCTCGGGGAATTTAGAATTCAAAATCGTAGGGTTGCAGTGCTGCTAAGAGAAGGTGAGGGGGGGGGTGAGGGGTAACATTGCTAGCCGTTTCGCTGCGGTGGGTCATTGCCATAGCATGGGATACGAGAACAGTTAACGTTGATAACGGGTCTCTGGCAGGCCACTTTCTAGCGCTCCTTTTAGTCGACTCGGTCGCAACTCTCTGCTAGCTGTTTGCTGCTCGCGCTTTAGTCTAATGATGTCAATTACATCGTGCCACTCGCATTGTGGGCAACAACAAATGCATGCCAGCTTATAAGGCAGCAACAATGTGGCCAACAGCAGCAGCAGAAGCAGCGGCAGCGGCAGCCACAACTAGCAACAAGTGTCTCGGACTCGGCAACAACTTCGACTTTGGCTTCATTAAAATTGCTTTTCATTTTGGTCCATGTCTTTCATATATAAGCACACACACACACACACACACACACACACATATACATATATACAGCTTGGCTTTTCGTGCACGGTTTGTTCGCTTTTCACTGTAGCAACAAAATAGCCAAAAAATTTTAATGAGTTTTAATGAAATTGTACGAGTGTCTCTACTAGTCATAGACAAGTTGCCAAGTAAAGGCCACAGCAGCCAATCGTAGCAATAACCGCAAGCACACATATCATTACATTTTGGTTCACTCTTCATGCAAACAAAAGACTTAGGCAACAAACTTGAACGAATTCGATGCTATTTGAAAAATCAGAACCAACTCAACTCGAAATGAGCTCCAACTAAGCTACACTTTCAGTTGCCCAGGACAGCACACACACACACACACACACACAGAGAGATGCTCAACAAATTGATTGCTTTGTTAGAGTTTCTTTATTCAAGTGCTTATCAAATAAAGTGCTATAAAAAAATATCACCAAATACTTGAGCACTCACATATGGCAGCACATTTTGAACAGCATGAATAATTTGCTCGCCCTCGTCTCAGCCCGCCTTGGTGCATAAAAAGTGGGCTGCATGTTAATCAACTTTAAATTTATGGCTCAATTTTTTGGCAGTGCTTAAGCAAATTTTTGCCTTGAAAAAATCGTTTGGTACAGAGGAAAAAAAAAGAACGTAACGAAATCGCTTCACGTCACGCCCACGTTTCTGACTAAATGAGCAAGAGTTAGGCAGAAAGGCAGAGGGGGAGGGGCAGGAGGGTTGGGGCACCCTTTTCACATCGGCTGTTTACGCCCAATTTGTCACACATTTCAACAGGTTGCAAGCAGGAGGCATCATCAAAAAGCGAACGACGATGGGGCTGATGACGATGACGATCAACGAGCCTCCTCAACTGGCGGCCTGGGACAGTGAATATGTGTCTTAGCCCCAGCTTGGACCGGGGCACCGAATCTGGATGATGGCTCACAGTCTTGGTCGGGGTAGGCGTATTGTCTTGCGGAATTTTCGGGCATGCCTCACGGCCGTCTGAAGCGTGAGGAATTTCTTTTTTGTCGTTTCTGTTCTGTTCTGTTGCCTCGCTGCCTCAATCGCTGTGAGCTGCTGCTGTTGTTGTTGTTGTCGTCCTCTCTAAGTGAAAAATTATGCAAAAGTGTTTTATTTTAATAGCGGAAATCATTTATAGATGTTGTAATAAAGACTCAGTTCGTCCGCTCCTCTGCTCCCGCCAAGTTTTGGGTATCTTCTTCTCAGTCCGACAGATTGTTGTTGCTGTTGCTCCTGCCCAGGGCTGTGTTTTGTGTTCGTTGAACGACCGCCAACGAAGTCGCCAACGCGCAACAATGTTGCCACAATTTGGTCTCAGGCGCAGGTAAAAGATACGAGGGTGGAGAGCTGCAACAACAGCGAAGACCCAAGAGTCCATTTGTGGCTGTTGCCAAGACTGAACGGGTTGGCAGCCCAGGATATGATTTTCTTACTAGAACTCGTAGAAAACTTAATTCAGAGGTGCCAGATGATGAAAGAATGTCTCTGTAAGTCAAGGTTACATTTGCCCCACAAAAAATGGGGTCAAGTGCTTAGATTTTAGCGACAATCAGGCGTATAATAATCTTCTTTGTTAGCCACAGGTTTTACGATTTCGCTTCATTTAGCAAAGAACAAAAAATTAAGTATTAAAAGTGAGATTTATTGCAAAGTTGTGTGTTTAAGGGGATTCATTTCCCGTATGACTTCATTTTTGCGCGTTCAGCGAACAAAAAACAGTCAAAGCACGAACGTAGTTGAAAATATGTACAGCTGAGCAAAAAAATAAAATTAAAATAAAAAATCAACTTGATCAACTTTTGCCGACACAATCAAAGAGTGCTATACAATAGGTTCAGTTGCTCGACGCTCTTTCCGCTTTTTCCGCTCGCACATGATCGGCCATAAAAGCGAGCAGGCAAAGTACAATTATAAAGCCATTAATGTAGCTAAATTAGCTCATTTGTAATGAAACCTGGCTTCGAATCGTTAAAAAAAAAATGAGTATGAAAAATACATAAACTCAGCGCAAAAGGCAGCCGCAAAAGCACGAAAAACAATCAAAGTAAAAAAAGCAGACGGCAACGCAATCGATAAGCATTTTACGTCAATCCCATAAGGGTAGAATAAACAGAAAAGCAAAGATTGTTTTATGGCTTGGCGCTCAATGAATCAACTCTCTGACGGAAATAGTCCGAGCTCCAAAGCCCAAACAAAAGAATATTAGATAATATTAAGAGAAATGAATAAATATGTGAATGTGCATGCAAATGAATGCTCTTATGAAATAATATTAAATTATTATATTAATAGAGCAAGAAATAATGCTTGCAAAGCCCTTCTTTATCGAACGTTGCATATCATTAAGAAACCGCAACAAGTTTGTGTCCTAAGTCATCTGTTTCGGTGTGCGGCATTTCAGGTTTGTCGCTTAAGTCTTTTGTCATTGTGCCTAACATTTCAATTAACATGCAAAACTAGACTAGATACTAAGGTATATGCACACAGCTATGGCTTCCGTGAAACCAAAGCCAACATCCAGCAACCACGGACCACGGACCGGGGACCGCAGCAGCACCCATTTGATGTACATCAAAAGACAAACAGTTTTAACACTCTTCAGAGTCGTCAATACCATTCCCGGTGCTGATGAAATGGAGATTAAAGTGATTTGGCCAATTTTACATTGCGGCCATTTGGCTTTTAATTAAATTGGCTAATGTGAACTTTCTCTTAAAACGTCGACAGCTACCGCCAAGCCCAATTAAATGATAACAAATTAAATATACAATGTGTTTTCACAAGAAGCCACAGCAGCCGCTCAGCTGCTTAGCGACTAGCATTGAGAATGAATGAGGGACTGGCACTGCGATCGAGTCGGTGCCGGAGTCGGAGACTGGGACTGGGCCGATGGTCATGATACTGAGGCGCCGCTGGCCAGTAAGCGGCAGAATTCGCACACAGTTATGGCCACTGTGCCGCTGGCGTGGACGACACGTCTGAGCTCCGAGAAATTTATGGCCACATTCAATTGTCAAGTTTATGTGACTGCGGCAGGGCCTGAATTTGCATAAGAGCCGTTCGTCGATCGCCGTTCGTCGTTCGCCGTTGACGTCGTTTGGTCAGCAGCAGGCGAACTTCTCTAGAATTCTCTCGTTGGGGCATTTGAAAGTTTGGTTTGATTCTCCCATTACCAGGCTTACAGCACAATATCTACGTCTCTCAATTCGCACATTCTCTCAAAATCGTTGTTTCATTTATTTTCAATTCTCTGATTCTTTTCTTTGTTTTCTTACAGACCGGCATGCTGGAGGCGCTTTGATGGTTCTTGCATACAAATGACGAATTATGAGAATCTTATAAATTTGCCATTAAATTTTAATGCAAATAATCATGCAAATAATAATGAGAACAATGGCAAAATTGCTGTTGGCGAGCAGCTATTGAATAAAATGTCGCAGCGGGATTTCTCCGAGGTAAGCCTGAGAATGGGAATCGTAATGGGTATTGTGTAGGCAATGGGAATTCGCATTGAGTGTGAATGGAAATGGAAAATGCTGAAATAACAGGTTTTAGGGCGCTTCATATAATAGCAAGGCGACTCTGTTGAGAGACTCTGTTTACAGAAGTTAAATGTGAATTTGTATGCTATTCAGAAGCAGAATTTCAATTGTTATAATTCATTTTAGCACATTTTTGATAAGCTGCTAATAGTGTCTGATTAAACGGATAAGGCCGGATAAGTGCAATTTTAATGCTTCCATAGTTTAAGCTTGCTGACTTTAAGCGAGTAATTTTGTATTTAAATGGGTTAAAAAATAATTTAAATCGTTTTAGTTAATTTTTGTACATGCATAGTGTTGGATAAAAACGGATAAACCCGTATAAGTGCAATTTATGCTCGCTGGCTTTAATTTTCATAGCTGCCAGTCCCTACAATGCGATCAGTCAACAGCTGCAGCTTGAAATCAAATGATCGTCGCCTTGAGTTTATCTCTATCTGCACTGGCCGTGCGCTGATCATGTCTGTTGCCGTTGTTGATCATGCATGCATTTCAAGTTCCCAATTTATACACCATGACAATTATTTATGGCCTTCACAGAAACTTAATCATCCAGTGCGCTTGAAAATTAAGACAGATAACAACTACAACCAGCTAAAGAAAACGAAAAAAAAAAACAAAAACAATCAACGAAGCAAGCGCTAATAATCAAAAAGATGGCAAAATGATTTCAATGTTGATTAACTGAGCGGCGAGACAACAAAAGGGCTAAGCAACAGCAACAACATCAACAACAACGACAATGAAACACACGCCAAATTAAACAAAGCGCAGAGAGATAAAAACGCCAAACACACAAACCCTTTTCCAGCTCTGACTACACCCTAGGCCCTTTCATCATATTCCGCGCTGTCATGTCATGGTCAACAACGACGACAACAACGACAACGTCGAGGCTGGGACTTAGCCTAAGACTGAGGCCGGGACTAAAACAGAGTCTGAGAACGACAACGTCAACGTTGTTGGATAAGTTTCTGGCGCATGTTCAGAAGCATCCCGCTGCTGTCTGACTATCTGTCCCTCTGTCCTTCGGTCGGTCGATTGGTCTGTCTCTCGGGCTGACGGGCTGACTGACTGACTGACTGATCCGCCTGGGCTTAGGCTTGAGCTTGGGCATTCGTCTGGGCAACTAGATGCCAGCAAATTGGTTCTCTGTGAAATTTTTAGGCAGCTTAGTTTGGCTTGTGGATAATATCTGTTTGTTTGTTTGTTATCCGGCTGGGCTAAGCACATTCATCAGCAGCCGGATAGAAGAGCACGGATATTTGTGTGTTAGTGGGGGGGACCTATACACGAGACCGTGAACGAAAAGCAACAGCTAATTATTTTATTACGCGTTAAATTGCAACAAAATTCTTGACTTAAGCGCAAAACATGCCAATGTGCGCCACAAGCAATCGTGAAATTGTTAGCATTCCAATGCGGCGACTTTATCGATGGGCCGTCGGGACGCTTGCGGTGTGCATCTGGCTCACATATGGTCACTGGCCACTTGCCACTTGCCACCGATCGGTACCCGCCCCGCCCCACCACTCCACACGCACACACAGTTCAACATGTTGCATGTGGCATGGCAGGCAACAACTTGAAGCCAACTGCTGCTGCGGCTGCTGCGGCTGCTCCGGCTGCTGCCTGGTTGCATCTTTGGGTGCCACTTTTTTTTCTCTTTTCTTTTTTAGCTTTTGCGCTGTTGTCCGCCCAGGCACAGGCAGGCGGCAGCCGAAGCGCGACCAGTTCTCGAATCGCTGGCTGATTTTTTTCTTTCTTACACATTCCTGGCCGCCCCGATCTCTGCGCGCTCTATCCCTCTCTCTAGCTTTTCCGCTCTCTCTCTCTCTCTCTGTTTAACTGCCAGCCTCTTGCTACAAGATTCTTGCTCGTCTTTGCCAATTTTTCTAAATAGAAGCTCTTTGACTGGCGTTGTTTTTGTTTTTGTTGGAATTGTTGAAGCAGGATAGCAGACGTATCAGCTTACATGACTTCTCTATGTGGCATTTGGGCGCCAATCCCTAAATTGATACACAGCACGAAGCATGCAACGCGCAGCGTAAGGGTCCCAACAGCCTCTCTGACAAGTAAACCGTTTGAGCCAGAAAATTACCGAGTCGACTGTCGCTTGGTTAATACTGCGCATTGATATAATACACGCTGAAATGCATTTGTCTGCAGCTCTTAAACAGTTTCAAAGAAAATCTCAAGATATATAAATAGAGCGATTTCAATAGGGAAAAGGTATTGAAAAGGCTGATTCAAACTTATCCGGGACAAAACCCGTGCCTTATATTAACGTCAAATACTTACCTCCTTTAAATTTAAATTTGGGAAAAATTATTTATAGTATACGATTGCAATCGCAATAAAGCAGCTATTCAAAACTATTCCGTGGCTATGTCCTTTGGTTGGTTAACTTTCTGCATAAAAACATTAGTTGAAATTCCAGTTTGTTTACCTTTCTAGTTAATGCTTATAGGCAGAAAAATTGCAATCACAGGTATTTGAAACTTATCCGTGGATATATGCTTAGCTCGGATAAACATCCAAATTATTTAGCTGCATAAAAATCGTGTAAGAGTTAGTTTTCTGCTATCCGCTTAGCATTTATAGGCAAGGCAATCCAAACTAATCCGTGCCTTATCCCATTCTGCATTAACTGATGAGCTAGTTTATGACTTTAGTTTATGTTTGTATACAAATATTCGAATCAGCAGCATATGCAGCTTATCCAAACTTATCCGTAGCGCAGTCTTTTACTCGGAAAGCTAAATTTCTGCATAGAATCCGGCATTAATTGATAGCAGAGCTATTTTATCGCTCTAGTTTATGTTTTCGTGCAAATATTGTTTGAATCCGAAACAGTTGCAGTTTATCCAGACTTATCCGTGGCTCACCGCTTGACTCAGATTAACTCTAAGGTCAAGCTCTTGGCATTTCGGTACGCTCGTAGTTCGCTGTCAGTTATTATTACTTTTAGCTGGAACGATAATATCTCCTAATATGAAACGGCGCTCCCTTCCGCTCGGCTTGGCCTTAGACGGTTGATCTGGCCGTTGTTGGTGCGTCTATCTGTCTGTCTTTGGGTTAGCATGGGCATGTTTGGTGCGTGTTTATTTAACTTTGACCATCGGCTGACTGTCTTGGGCCAATCTGTAGGCTGTGATCTGAGCCAGCAACGCCAACGCTGTGCAAAAATTTCATTTTGCCAAGTTATGCGAGTGGTTTTTAAAGTTGTTCGACGGTTCCCTGTGTGACTGTGTGTGTGTGTGTGTTTGAGTGTGCGTGAGTATTTGCTTTTGTTTTTATTTTTGATTGTTTTGTTATATTCCACTTCTTCTTCTTGTTGTTCTTCTTGTTCTGCCATTGTAACGCCCACTTCATTTGGCTTATCGGGCGCGAGTGGACGGCCGCTGGACGGTGGGGGCACGGGTGCGCTTAATGGTTGCATAAAACATAAATTTCGTTCTGCATCTGTCAGATACATTTCGTGGCTGCCACTTGTGCGAGTATCTATGCGCACGTATGAGTGCTGCATGTATCGACGAGTTGATTTATTCGCATTGGCTGGACCCGAAAAAAACCCAACAAGAGAAACAACAACAGCGACAGCGAGCCAGCGGGCTAATCTAAGCACGTTATCCGTAACCCACGCCCCAACTGGCCATCTATCCCCTCGCCTCTCCTTGGTGCCACTCTTTGACAACGGCACTTGGCACTTGGCATTTGGCACTTGCTGTGCACGTTTTCTAGGAAAGAGCTCATCGCTTTGGTCTTGGTTTTGGATTCGGTTTTTGGCTTTGGCTTTTGTGTCTTGAAGCTGGGGCTAATGCATTTGCATACTCATTCCATTTAATTGCCTCAAAAATATGTAAAAATTCTACGCTCTTGTCACGGCCTCGTCTTCGTCCTCGTCCTCGTCCTCAACCTCAGCCTTGGTTACGTTCCCGTTCCCGTTCCCGATCTCGTTTTCGTTCGGGTTAGCCTTCCATGGCGTAGCTTATGCCAAAAAAGGCTCAGACTTCAACACTTCTCCTTGCCACTGTCTGCCTCCTGTTGGCTGTTTGCTGCTGCCCGTCGTGGCTCAGTTCTTGGGCCACGAATTCGTGGAATTGCTTCCGCATTTGACGAGCACAACTGCTGGCGGAACAGCAATTGGAGGCAGTTGCCAGTCGCCAGTTGGCAGTTGGCAGTTCGCCGGTAGAAACGTGACTCAGTCGCCGCATACCTGTAGCATGGACTTGAACTGGGACTGTGACTGCAACAGCAACTGCGACTGCGACTGCAGTTGTAGCATCGAGCGCGGCGGCAATTTAACATAATTATAGCGCAGCGTTGAGGCTCCACATTCACAGTGGGGCAAAGCGTCTCGTTATTGATGTCTCATGGAAATTGAACAAATCAAGATATTGCTGGGCATATTTTCGAAGGTGTTTGACTGAAACTTTTAAGATAAATAAGAATTACTGTGCTGTCTGCTGCTTGCAAATTATTTGTCATCTGCAGCAAAATTGTAGCTTTTTTGACTATCTGTTCTATAACATGTATTTTAGTTTGATGTGTTCCTCTGTTTCAATCAATTTTCCTTTTTTGTTTGTCCGAAATCAAACAGATAAAGTTTGCCAAATTGATATCACTTTCCCAGCTGAGCAATTGTTAATGCAAGTTTGTTAATTGTGTTATTTTTGCAGAACGAACCGGAATGCACGCCGGAGCTGCCCGCCGCGAATCGCGCGCTCTTCCTGGAGAAGGTGCGTCAATCGAATGCTGCCTGCCAGAGCGGCGATTTTGCCACCGCTGTGCTGCTCTATACGGACGCACTGCAACTGGATCCGGGCAATCACATACTGTACAGCAATCGGTCGGCGGCACGACTCAAGCAGGGCCAGTTTGCGGCGGCGCTGCAGGATGCGACACAGGCGCGCGAGCTGTGCCCCCAGTGGCCCAAGGCATACTTTCGCCAAGGCGTCGCCCTGCAGTGCTTGGGCCGGTACGGTGAGGCGCTGGCTTCCTTTGCCGCCGGCCTGGCCCAGGAGCCCAGCCATAAGCAGCTGCTGGCTGGCCTCGTCGAGGCCTCACTGAAGAGTCCGCTGCGAGCGGCTCTCGAGCCAACGCTGCAGCAGCTGCGCGCCATGCAGCTGCACGAGTCACCGTTTGTGGTCAGCTCCGTGGTGGGTCAGGAGCTGCTGCAGGCCTCACAGTATCAGGCGGCTGTCGCCGTGCTGGAGGCTGCACTGCGCATTGGCAGCTGCTCGCTAAAGCTGCGCGGCTCCGTCTTCAGTGCGCTCAGCTCGGCGCATTGGGCGCTCAATCAGCTGGACCAGGCGATTGGCTATATGCAGCAAGATTTGGCCGTGGCCAAGTCGCTGGGCGACACGGCCGGCGAGTGTCGCGCCCATGGCAATCTCGGCTCCGCCTACTTCAGTCAAGGAGCCTACAAGGAGGCGCTGACCGCGCATCGCTACCAACTGGTGCTGGCCATGAAATGCAAGGACACACAGGCAGCCGCCTCGGCGCTAACATCGCTCGGCCATGTGTACACCGCCAGCGGTGACTATCCCAATGCCCTGGCTTCGCACAAGCAGTGCGTGCAGCTTTTCAAGCAGCTCGGCGATCGGCTGCAGGAGGCCCGCGAAATTGGCAACGTGGGCGCCGTCTATTTGGCGTTGGGTGAGTGCGAGGCGGCCCTGGATTGCCACACGCAGCATCTGCGTCTGGCGCGCAAGCTGCACGATCAGGTCGAGGAGGCACGCGCCTATTCCAATCTGGGCTCCGCCCATCATCAGCGACGTCAGTTCGGCCAGGCGGCCGCCTGTCATGAGCAGGTGCTGCGCATTGCCCAGACACTGGGCGATCGCAGCATCGAGGCGCGCGCCTATGCGGGCCTGGGCCATGCGGCGCGCTGTGCCGGCGATGCGGCCGCCTCCAAGCGCTGGCACGAACGCCAGCTGGCCATGGCGCTGGCGGCGCGCGACAAGCTCGGCGAGGGACGCGCCTGCTCCAATCTGGGAATTGTGTACCAGCTGTTGGGCGCCCACGATGCGGCGCTGAAGTTGCACCAGGCGCATCTGGGAATTGCGCGCGCCCTGGGCGACCGGGCGGGCATGGGACGTGCCTACGGCAATATGGGCAATGCCCATGCCGCTGCCGGGGCCTACGAGGCGGCCGTCAAATATCACAAACAGGAGCTGGCCATCAGCCAGGCGGTGAACGATCGCAGCGCCGAGGCCGCCACGCATGGCAATCTGGCTGTGGCCTACCAGGCACTGGGCGCCCACGATGCCGCACTGGCGCACTATCGCGCCCATCTGGCAACCGCCAGATCGTTGAAAGATGCGGCGGGCGAGGCGTGCGCGCTGCTCAATTTGGGCAACTGTCTCAGCGCCCGGCAGCTGTACGGCGAAGCGGTGCCGCATTATGAGAGCTATCTGATGCTCGCCCAAGAGCTGGGCGACGTGGCCGCCGAGGGCAAGGCGTGCCATCTGCTGGGCTATGCACACTATTGTTTGGGCAATTATCGCGCTGCCGTGCGCTACTACGATCAGGATCTGGCGCTGGCCAAGGACGCACAGCATCGGCCGCATATGGGACGCGCCTATTGCAATCTGGGCCTGGCCCATCTGGCATTGGGTCACACTGCCGCCGCGCTGGAGTGCCAGCAGCTCTTTCTGGCCGTGGCGCATGCGACGGGCCAGCTGCCGGCCAAGTTTCGGGCGCTGGGCAACATCGGCGACATACTCATCCGCACGGGCGCCCACGAGGAGGCCATTAAGCTGTTTCAACGCCAGCTGGTGCTGGCCAGGGCGGCCGGTGAGCGGGCTATGGAAGCGGCCGCCTGTGGGGCATTGGGCCTGGCGCATCGACTGCTGCGGCGCTGGGATAAGGCGCTGGGGCATCACACGCAGGAGCTGACACTGCGCCAGGAGCTGGGCGATCTGGCTGGCGAGTGTCGGGCCCATGGCCATTTGGGCGCGGTGCATATGGCGCTGTGCAGCTGGACGCATGCGGTCAAATGCTATCAGGAGCAATTGGAGCGCGCCCAGGAGCAGCGAGACGCGGCCGTAGAGGCGCAGGCGCACGGTAATCTCGGCATTGCCCGGCTCAATATGGCGCACTACGAGGCTGCGATTGGCTGCCTGGAGGCCCAGCTGGGCACATTGGAGCGCGTCTCACTGCCCTCGACGCAAGCGGATCGCGCCCGTGCACTGGGACATCTGGGCGATTGCTATGCCGCCTTGGGCGACTATGAGGAGGCACTGAAGTGCCACGAACGGCAACTGCAGCTGGCGCTGGGCCTAGCCAGCCATCGGGATCAGGAGCGCGCCTATCGTGGCCTGGGCCAGGCGCGACGTGCCCTCGGTCAGCTGGCGGCGGCGCTGGTCTGCCTGGAGAAGCGGCTGGTCGTCGCCCACGAGCTGCACAGTGCCGAGGTCAAGGCGCTGGCCTATGGTGATTTGGGTCATGTGCACGCCGCGCTGGGCAATCACGCCCAGGCGCTCAACTGTCTGGAGCATCAGCGGGAACTGGCACGCGGCCTGCAGGATCGCGCCCTCGAATCGGATGCGATGTGTGCACTGGGCCAGGTGCAGCAGCGCATGGGCCATCATGCCGAGGCGCTCCAGCTGCACGAACAGGATCTGCAGCTCTGCACGGAGCTGTCGGCGCCGGCACTGCAAGCACGCGCCGTTGGCAATCTGGGCGCCGTCCACGAGGCGTTGGGTCAGCAGCAGGAGGCGCTCAAATGCTACGAACGTCAGCTGGCGCTCAGCACCGACCGGCTAGGCAAGGCACTGGCCTGCGGTGCCCTGGGTCGTGTGCATCATCAGCTGGAGCAGCACGCACAGGCGGTGGAGTATTTGCGTCAGGGCTTGGCCAGCGCTCAGTCCATTGGCAAGTCCGAGGAGGAGGCCAAGATAAGACATCAACTGGGTAAGTAGCCAAGCTGTGCAGGATATTACGCCCATTTGTGTCCAAGCCTAATCCTAACTACTCCAAACAGGTCTTGCTCTGCGCTCCTCTGGCGACGCTGAGGGCGCTCGCATACAACTCGAAACGGCTGCTCAGCTGCTGGAGTCGGTGCGCCAGGAACAGCGTAGTCCGGAAGCGCGCCTGGCTCTATACGAGCTGCAGACCAGCTGCTATCATCTGCTCCAGCAGCTGCTGGTCGCTCTGCAGCGCAGCGAGGATGCGCTCGTCGCCGCGGAGCGTTGCAAGGCGCGCAGTGGCGCCGATGCTACTGCCGGCGATTTCAAGGGCACAGCAACAACATCAACATCAGCAACAGGAACAACAACAACAACAACGGGAGGAACACTGGCGGACATTGAGGCCATACTGGAGGCAGTGAATCGCGGCCGAATGCCCGTGCTCTACTACAGTCTGGCCGGCGAGCAGCTCTACGCCTGGCTGCTGCAGCCGCAGTCGGGCATTGTGCGCTTCCATGCGGCGCGCATTGATCCGCAAACCCTGCAGCTGCCGCTGTCGCTCAGCGAGTGCCACGAGGAGGAGGAGGAGGAGGAGCAGCAGCAGCTGCACTCGCAGCAGTGCGAGAGTGAACCTGAACCAACTGGTCATGTGCTGCTGGAGCGCTATGTCAATATGGTGCGCGATAATCTTGGCGTCAACTCACAGAATCTGCTGCACGAGGGCGATGGCAGCGGCTGGCGGGCAAGCAGCGAGCAGCTGCTGGAGGATCTGCCCGGCGCTGGCGCCGGTGGCGGCGGCTTTTTGCGCATGGTCAGCCGCAATCAGCTGTTGAACTCATCGAACTACTCGCTCAGCTCGCTCTTCTCATTGGGCTCCGTGGCCAGCCTGCAGGGCTCTACACGTTCCGTGGGCAGTCGCAGTTCGCGCCGGGCGCCAGCTCCACCTGCCTGGCGTGGACCCGCCTGCCTGCACACGCTCTACAATCTGCTGCTGGCGCCATTCGATGATCTGCTGCCCAGCGGCGCCAGCGTCTCGCGGCAGGGTCGACGAGAGCTCATCCTGGTGTTGGATAGTGCCCTCTATCTTGTGCCATTTGCCATATTGCGTGCAGCCGGAGACGATGGCGAGTATCTATCGGAGCGCTGTGCACTGCTAACGGCGCCCTCGCTCCAGGCACTGCGGGGCCGCTCGAGGAGTCGTCGGGATCGCGGACGCCCACCCACAGCCTTGGTAGTCGGTGGACCGCGTGTGCCAGCCGCTCTCGCCGAGCGCTGGGGCTGGGCAGCCGCTGAATCGCCGGCGGCATTGCAGGAGGCCGCCATGGTAGCGGACATGCTGCAGGCGAATGCCTTGGCTGGCTGCAATGCCACCAAGGAATCGGTGCTGGCCGAGCTGCCTGGGGCGGAGTGTGTGCACTTTGCCGCGAATCTCAGCTGGAAGCTCGGCGCCGTGGTGCTCAGTCCGGGCGATGTGGTCACCGCCGAGCAGCAGCAACAAAAGGAGCCCCACGAGCCACAACTATCCGACTTCACGCTGGCCGCCGCGGAGCTGCGTCAGCTGCGACTCGGCGCACGCCTCGTCGTCCTCAGCTCCTATCACTCGGTGGAGCCCATAACGGGCAGCGGCGTTGCCCAACTGGCCGGCGGCTGGCTGTTAGCCGGCGCCGGCGCGGTGCTCATCTCGCTCTGGCCCGTGCCGGAGACGGCAGCCAAAATTCTATTACGCGCCTTCTACTCGGCCCTGCTGCAAGGTGCACGGGCGGCACGGTAAGTAGGCACTCCCGACTGGAGCCCTCTGCTCTTAGCTGTTTATGTTAAGGTAACATATGAATCCAATCTAATCTTTGACTCTGCCCTCCTTTGCAGCGCCCTGGCGGAGGCCATGCAAACGGTGCAGCACACAAAGCATTTTGCCCATCCCGCCAACTGGGCTGGCTTCCTGCTCGTTGGCGCCAATGTGCGGCTATCGAACAAGGTGGCACTGCTGGCCCATGCGCTGTGCGAGCTGCTGCGGACGCCGGAGCGTTGTCGGGATGCGCTGCGCGTGTGCCTGCATCTGGTGGAGAAAAGTCTGCAGCGGATACATCGCGGCCAGAAGAACGCCATGTATACGACCCAGCAGAGCATTGAGAACAAGGCCGGACCTGTGGCTGGCTGGAAGGATCTGCTGATGGCAGTGGGCTTTCGCTTTGAGCCGGCTGCGAATGGTATACCCTCGAGTGTATTTTTCCCTCAAACCGATCCCGAGGAACGTCTATCGCAGTGCTCGGCCAGCCTGCAGGCGCTGCTGGCACTGACGCCCGCCACGCTCCAGGCGCTTGCCAAGCTGGTGAACAGTGCGGAGCATGCGGACGATATAATCGCAGTGGTGCGCAACATATTGGCCCAGTTCCCCGCCAAGCCGGAGGCTGAGGCCTGCATCGAGATGCCGTTGAGCGTGCGCCTCTGGCGCGTCGCCGGCTGCCATGAGCTGTTGGCCTCCGTTGGCTTCGATCTGACTGAGGTGGGCGCGGATCAAGTGATACTACGCACCGGGAAGCAGGCCAATCGCCGACACTGTCAGTTTGTGCTGCAAGCGCTGCTCGCGCTCTTTGGTAAGGGCTCCTGATACTGGCCAAAAATCGAAGAACTGGCATTTTAAAACCCCTTTCAAATTTTCTTGCAGACACGCACGAGGCGCCGAAGAGCCTAAGCCTCGACTCTGCGGCACACAGCAGCAGCAGCAGCTGCGAATCTCTGGCCGAGCCCGATTTGGATGCCACTCCTGTGCAGCCGGCTGCCAGCAGCGGCAACTCCACAGCCGCGACAGCTGCAAATTGCACACAATCGCCTCCGCTAGCGCTGCATCCGCGCAGCGCCTTCATTTCGTACGTGCGTCGTCGTGGCGAACCCGACGGCGGCGGCGGCCTCGACTCCAGCCTGGCCAACACCACGGACAGCGAGCACTCCCTCTCCGATGGCTATGCCACACAGGCGGGCAGCGGTCAGCCGGCTCCGCGCCTAGGCTACGCCAGCCTGCGTGGCCCGGTGCGTGTCTCCCGGCCTGGTGGTGGCGGCGAGAGTGATGCGGCATTCACGCCCAGCCCACCGGTTACCGATCCCAGCCTGTCGCTGGCACTGGCCCACCAGACGCGCATACGCTGCCTCTACGCGCAGCCGGGCACAGTGGCCTCCTCGGTGGCGCCAACGGCAAACACTGGGCGACGGCCCGATAGCTCCAGCTCGGCCAGCAGCACGACAACAGATTGGGAGGGCTCCGGCCATGCGACTGTGCTGCGACGTGGAGCAGCGGCCGGCGCTCAGCAGCAGCAACTGCAGCAGGCGCAACAGCAGCAACAGCCGCCGCTACCGCCACCCCGTCCGCCTGTCTATCACAATTTGGGCGCGGGCGGACGCAGCAAGCCGAAGATAAAGCTGGGCAGCGCACAGAGCTCACTGGCGGCACGGGTCAACAAAGAGCATGCCCTCTTCATGGACAGACTGAGCGTGCGCACGGAACTAAACGCGCCAGCGTCAGCGAATGGATCAGCAACGGGCGCTGGCCCTGCTGCCGGCGTGGCCAGTGGAGGGCAACGCAAGGCGCTGACATTGACGGAGGAGGAGGCGGCTGCCAGTGTGACCTTCAATCCGGCCAGCCTTTACTTCTCGCCGGCAGACAGCGAGCTGTTGGGCGAGCCCAAACAGCCGCTGGAGGAGACGCCGGTTAAGCCGAGCGTCAAGTGCATACAGGACAGCATAATGCGGCACATGAACCGCGAACTGACGCCCAGCATCTCGGAGCTGTACCATGAGCGCAGTCTGGGCCTGGGTCTGGCGCCGCCGCTCTCCAAGCTGCTGCTCAGTCCCAACTACGAGGAGCAGGAGGTGACCGCCATGGGCGAGAACAGCACATCGTCCGGGCCGGGAAATGCGGCTGCTATTAAGACGCTCGTCGATGCTGTCAACGAGCTGGAGCTTAGCGGCAGCTCCTCCGGCGCCACCATACCAACTGTGGTCGGCGGTGAACCAGAAACCAACCACACAGTCTCTAATCCTGTCGTCAGCGAACCGATCTGCTCCATTTGCGGCGAGCACGCGGATGTCGTCTGCCGCTGCAAGGCGGCCACCATCCAGAAAAAGGCCACACTTAAGCCCTGGCTGAGCAATGTGCCCGCCAGCAGCCTGGTCCAGGCCAGCGAGCTGACCACAGCGGATATACTGGAGCGACGCCTGGAGACTGCGCTCCCCAGTGCACCCTTTGCGGCCGAGCTGTGTCGCCGCGACGAGGGCGACGGACGATCCGTGGCCGACTCGCAATGCAGCAGCAACTACAAGCGGGTGCTGGCCACCGCGGGCGCCGTTAGCCTGGTGGTTGGCATTGGTGCTGCTGATTCGGAGGCGCAGAATGCCACATCCGCAGCCACATGCTCGGCCGCTCGTCTTGTCTAGACAGTAACCAAGCGCCCAGCTCGCCCCCCCCCCCTCCTTCCCACCCACTTGCCGTTTTTCTATTGATATTAGCATTTAGCATAGAATCTAGTTTTAGTTTCATGTTTTAGGTCTTAATCGGAGACACCCTGTACTGATCATCCTAGCATTAGTTATTTGCATTTTATTTATTTATTTATGCACTTTGCGTCAACTTTAATTTAGAATACACACACACACACACACACACATACACCTACACTTGCATTTGCCTATTTGTAATGTTTAAACAAAGCCACTGATTAAATTTTATGCATTTACAATGTGAACATTCGTTCTTTTTTTATATTATATCTAGAATTTAGCACAAATAAAAAATGGTGCTTGAAACTGTTATATGGAACTTTTGTGCAACTGCTATACAGCTGTTATACAATTTGGATATAATTGTTATACAGCAAAACTATAGTAAATCGCTTAGTAGACAGCTATATCACGAAGTACCCAACTGTTCTAAATCTGTTTTACAACTGACGTACAACTTTTATACAAAGAAAGTACAGTAAGCTCTGCTAAATCCCCAAATATAATTTAAGGACTGTTATACAGCTGTTATACAACTTTTATACAACTGTTATACAACGGAAATACATTAATCTTTAGAGCACAGACAATGAAATGGCAAAAGTGTGATCTAACTTTCGATTGCATTCAACTATCAGCGACCCCAGCTGTCAGACTTGAACAAGGCATGAATTATTGCAAACATGTGCAAAAATCTATTAAGAAAATATCAAAAATTAAAAATACATTATACACAAATACCCAGAGTCGAAGAGTTCGACCAGCGACAAGCAGACGAATATGATTTATTGATAATTATATATGAGCTTGAGCCTTGGTTAGCACAGTGAGGCGACTATATGACACACCAAAGCACCGACATAAAATCAGAAACGAAACAAAAAGTTTTTGGCGCATTTCGGGATCTTGTAGACCCAACCAACTCTGACTTGTATGCTAAAATTTGTAGTCAGTTTATGAAATGTCATCAAAGCCAGAACACACTGTGCTTCTTTGGCGTAGACTGTCTTTTTCACTACTGGCAAACCGATTGACGATTGAAACTGCATCAACATCATGATTGTGGTTTATTTGTCGCTTGTATGTTTGCGCTTTTGCGGCTAAGTCCAAACGCGAGTGACCTGTCATCCTGGCCTATGAACCTAACGTGTGATCTCTCGTTTATATCAGCGCATTATATTTATGATCATTTAATTAGCGGGCCGTGTTCATTAAAGTGATTGATATGGGATTGTGGGACCAAATGGCCTCGAACTCTTGCAAAAGTATTATTCACTTAATAATTATTTTTGTTATTAATGTTTAAATTTTTTTATTATCCATGTTATTATTATTTATTTTTATAATTATTATTATAATTTTTATTTTTATTATTATTTTTATCATTTTTATTATAATTTTTATTATTTTTATTATTATTATTATTATTATTATTATATATATATATATATATATATATATATATATATATATATATATATATATTATATATGTATTATATCTATAATATATAATATGTTTATGGTTTGAGTGTAGTTTATATATAGTTATAAACTATAGCAACAAACTGTCAACCTAAGTTTTTAAATAGTATGAGCACTTATGGCCTTGGACTAGGGCAATGTAGCATCCACAAACTAAGTAACTTGGGATTCGAACCCGGATCCCCGTTGCTCAATTGGCCAAATGACTGGGTCATTTAGATAACTTATCTACCGAGGATTGCACTTAATTTATAGTAATAAAGAAATTGTTTAGACTTTGCATATATATATATATATATATATATATATATATATATATATATGTACACACCATATGTGTCATCTTTTGCATCTAGAAAGTCTACTAATTGCAAAGTTCTATAATGGAAAATCATATTTGTATACTATTATTGAGACGGCCGTTTATATTAATTGCCCGTACTTGGGCATTTTCCATTTGCTATTCGAATTCGCATCCAGAGCCGTTTTCACTGACATTGCCTTCTATTAACAGACAACAACATCATATATAAATATTATAAAACATTTCCATTGACTTTGACACCCCAAATATAAAAATTCTAGTGAGCAGTTCGTATCGTTTGCTCCAACACTATGCAACAAAACACTTGAAAATGGACTGGTTACTATGCCACAATCTATATACAGTCATAAATTGGGAAATCCCAACATTTTGACAAGTCTTTTTTTTATGTATATTCCATATATTCAATACAGATATTTACTCAATGTAGTGATATTACTTTTGGTTGTTATAAAAAATGTCAAAAATAAAATGACTCGCAATAATAATTATAGATTTTCGGAGCATTTAGTTGTTGCAGATTAGATTCACTAGATTTTGCCCCTTTTGCGGCATAGTGTAATGTAATGGACTGGGGGCACGTGCCTATTAAATGATAAGATTTATTGCCACCCTGCACTCGATCATTACAAATTGACCTTTTTTATGATTATGACAACGTCGCTAGTACCGGTACTGCGTCGCAGAGAAGCCAGCCCCTCGGCCTAACAACCGTCTAAATATCGCCTGCTGCCGGTTCGATTAGCCCGTCCCTTCGTGGGCGCAATCGCGCATTGCATTCCCAGTGCTCACTGGCAGCGTGTGCGATGCCCGACGGCGTCAGAGTCCGGCGACGGAGAAGGGGACCGACGTCATGTATGTGGCGATGCTGCCGCGCCGACTGATAACTTTTCTCGAGGCGATCCCCCCCTTGATGGCACATTAATTCAGCGCTTGATGACGATGTACTTAGATTATTGCGATTTTGGAGGTACGTCTGTACGCCTGTACGCAGGAATCTGGAGCGCTTGCCCTTGCGTCAGATTTGTTCAAGGTGACGCCGAACGCTATCGAAGATCATAGCATAGCTTTCCAACAAAACAGACGCGAGCGACTTCAAAACAGCGCATAAACCATACATATATTCCAATTCTTCAGGAATTCTACTTATAGACATTTAGTAATCGTAGCTTGATTATACTACTTTGTGCTTACGTGACCCATCACCCACCCAATGGCTCGCAAGCAGATAAAAATAAAATAGCTTATTGCCCGCATTTAATGCCCGACTATGAGATACACTGAACCAAGCGACGAGCTGCCGTTTCGTCGTATCGCGTATCGCGAGCCTTCTTCTATTCATATTTATATACATACATAAAAGGACAGACTTACCGACTGTTCTTCTTCTTTCAGCAACAGACTTTTTAAAAATGCAGTATTGATATACATATAGCTTCGGTCTTTAAAGTCCGATCCTTTTAAAAAGCGCCTGGTTTTACCTTAAAATATAAGATTTGTTTTAAATTTTATTAGGAATGGGGGAAGATATGTAAAAAAAAAACGAAATAATTTAATCAGTGCATAGTATACGAGAGCCTATAAACCATATATTTTGTATTAAGGTCTTATAATTGTTGGGTTGTTTTTAAAATGGGGTAGGATATCGAGATATACTTGTTCTGCGAAATCGATGCGTAAACACAAACGGACAAACGTATTGAGCAAAGCATTCTGATCAGGTCCTTGTTCTGATCAACAATGTATATACTCTATGGGATGTCTATTGAATAAAACCATTATTATCCATTTCCCATTGCTTCACGATATAAGAATAGAGACAAACTCCCACACATAACACAATATATAAATATATAAGAACATAAATACTATGAACTTAATACTATTCTTAAGATTAAAGTTGTGATTACAACAAGGCGGGCGTCACGTTTAGGACGACCTTGAACTTAGTAATGCCAAACAGTGTCAAGGCTTATGCAATTTGCTCAGTTACTCATAACACAAGTTTCCGAGCTTATATATAATATTCCGACCGTTAGCGTTAGCTCGCTATAGAATTGGACGCAATTCAAAGGCTCACAAACAAGCAAACAAACAAATAAAAAAGTAAATAATATATTAAAAAAAACTCATTAATATTTCTAGTATAGATGATGTAAGTATCTAAGTATTTACGTAAATATTCCTTAATTGATTCTATAAGTGTGCAAATAATTGTTTGTGCAAATTGCTAACGAATCCTCCAAAGACAACAAGAAACAAGAAATTTGAGAGCATCTTAAGGATGCTCGCCTTATAAACTCGATCCGATCGAGTCATATGTGGCAATCAGTGGACTTGCACTTGCTCCAGTTAAAAGCACTATGCTCAGCCGTTATCGGTCAAGTGCAGCCTTTAGTTGCATATGTAGAATATATTTATATATATGTACATTTACAATGATATATGCATACATATTGTATGTATATAGATAAGCAGCGGCTAGCACGTGCTTGTGGGCAACGCCTTGATTCCCGAGGCGCGGATGTAGCCCTTAGATAAAGCACTTACGAGATTTTATATAGCCGAACCGTAGTGTGGGCCCGAATCGGCCGCATTTCCTACATCTATGTATATGAGCAATGACTTGAGTGGGGTCCCACATTGATAACTGATTAGGTGGCTATTAAACAACAAAAATGCTATAAATCAAAATATAATACTATATGAATACTATATGTAGCCTAGATGTGATATTGCTCGGCGATCTATAAAAGTGAGCGCCCGGAGAAGCTCGCGATTCAAAAGCATCTTGTCCGACCAATCGTGCAGTAGTTAAGGCGAACAATTCGAATTTCAATATATTTCTTTTTCCATACTTGTTATAATTCAAATCGCGTAACATGAGAATCTTACAGGAGGTGAGAATATAACTGAAAAACTTAAGTGACTTTTTTTAAGCAATGTGTGTTTTTTTATAATTTGTGTAGCACCAAATCCATTTGATGGATCCTTCGGAGCTGTTGCGTCCGGAGCCCTCATTTGCCGATAAAAATCCTTCCAAGTTTCGTGACTATAGCATTGATGTGGAGGATCCGCTAAAGGAACGCGTGCGTCGCACCTATCGCCAGATGCACCTAAATCAAACTGTGGACTTTGTCAACGGTAAGAACTATCCTTGACCAAATTGCCTTTGCGTTTAGATTTAATAATCGCTCCCGTTCACAGATCGTCGCAAACGCTGGCTGAAGTTCAACACCATTAAGATGACGGTGCGCGAAGCGTTGGAAAAACTCAACGATTTAATTGATGAGTCCGATCCCGATCTGGATTTGCCCAACATTATACACGCCTTCCAGGCAGCTGAGCGTGCACGCGCCGAATTTCCAGAGCATGATTGGCTACATCTGATAGCCCTCATACACGATCTCGGCAAGATTATGGCCTTCTACGATGAGCCACAATGGGCCGTTGTGGGCGATACCTTTGCCGTGGGCTGTCGTTGGGGCGATAGCATAGTTTATCGTGACGAAAGCTTTGTGGGTAATCCCGATGGGGATAATCCCAAATATAATACCAAATACGGCATTTACAAGCCACACTGTGGCATCGACAATCTGCTCATGTCCTGGGGCCACGACGAGTACATGTTCGCAGTGCTCAAGCACAACAATACCAAGTTGCCCGAGGTGGCCTGCAATATAATACGCTTCCATTCGTTCTATCCCTGGCATAATGGCGGCGACTACAAGCACCTGGAGGCGCCTAAGGATACTGTGACCAAGAAATGGGTTCTAATATTCAAGTGAGTTGAACCGTTAAACCCACATCTATAAATATGTATATATCTATAACAATAACTCTCCCTACAGCCGCTACGATCTATACACAAAAAGCGAGGTGGTGCCCGATATTGACGCTCTATGGCCATACTATCAAACGCTTATCGACAAATATTTGCCTGGCGTCTTGGAATTCTAGACCTGGTCTAGTCTAGAATGCATTAAATCATATAACCATATACGCACATATATATATATATACTAACCATAAACCTATATTTATTATTAACTAACTTATATTGATCTAAATACACCCACTGCGACCATAAGAAAGCAACTGTATGCTACACACTTCTTTGAAACCAAACTTATATATATAAACTTTGCATATAATAAATATAATAAATCTAAGCTACACGACTTTGTAGCTTATATACAATATGTCCCTTTTTTTATATTGAGAAATCGTTATTTCTTGACTTTAGCAACATCGAATAGTTCAAATATTTGTATGGCTTAGAAAGTCCATTAATAATATACTTAAATGCAGAAATTTACCAAAGAAAAGTGTTTACTGCAATAAACGAAATAAAATGCGCTCCAAAAAACTGGAACGTGCCAATTATTGTATAGACTTGTGTGTCGGTGGATTTGCGCCGTGACCGTCAACACACCAAAGACCTTATGGAGCGGTCCGAATTCTTTTATATACCCCTCCGAAATAAATATTTTGTTTGTTAAGATCAGTTTCATTCGTGTGGTTTTAAGACTATGTCAAGTATAAAGTATGTAGTCGGTGGTTTGGCTTACGGTTCGAACCAACTCCCTGCCTTAACGTTCGGTGGGTGAACCTGGTTTTACACATCCTTGAACCCAGACTTGTGTTCATATCTTGGTTTTGCAATATTAATGATCCAATTGAATTGCCAATTTTGATCTCTGCCCAAAATTGGCATTAACAAATATTTAGGATTGAATAATTCCAAGGATTGGAGATGAAGTTTATTATGCTCTGTGCCTCCTCCTCCTGGAGTCCTCCTCAAAAGTTTCTTGTTTTAAAAACTAAATCGTTTCTAAAAAATTTATGTTTCGAATCGGGTTCGGTTTGCCTGATGCGAATTCCTGGTTAAATCTGGTTCGGCTTACATACTAGACTTGTAAACATGATTATAATATAATATAATACAATTACAACTCTAACAAGTTCTCTTTTCTCTTATATCTATGCCTTGACACGGCAATATACGATGATCTGGTTCGTTAACAACCTTGATGTGATGAACAGCTTGTAAATATTTGTACACCTAAATTTTATTACTGACGACCATGCTCAATGGGTCGCATTCAAAACATTGCTCAACATTAAAAAAAAAAAGAGGGAAATGTACAATTCTTAAACCTAGAATCTAAAATGCTTTAGATACAAAGACACGGTTCATTGCGAGGCAGATCCTCCGCTGCTGCGTCGACGTCGCTTGTGGCGCTTGTGACTCTTTTTGCTCGGCTGGCGCTGGTGATTCCTTCTGCGCGACAAGGTCTCCTCCTTATGGTCGCGATGGCGGCGCAAGCAAGAATGGCTGCTGCTACGACTGCGACTGCGCTGCTTGTGGCGCGAACTGCGCGATGCACTGCGACTGCGACGGCGGTGTCTATGTTTGGCAATGGCGCTGGACTTGCGCTTGCGTCGCTGCCTATGGGCACTGCGACTCCGACTACGACTGCGTCGGCAACTGGGACTACTGCTGGATGAGGTCACTGAAGCATCTTGCGTTATGGAGCAGCAGCTGCTGCTGCTGTGACTGCGACTTCGACGCCCAGTCTTACGATGGCGCCCAGCTGATGAAGCGGCCGACACTGACTGTGGTGCGGCCGCGGCGGATACCAACTGCACATCGTCGTCATCGGAGAGCAGGACGGGCGCTGCTGCTGCTGCTGCTGCCGATGCCGCCGCCACCTTGCTGGTAAATGTATTGGTACTATCATCGTTAAGTAAATTGTATTTTTCCAGATCGCCGTCTTCATCTTCGTCATCCTCTGCATAAGCCGTTCTGATCGGCGGTGGAGCTGCTGCCGTCCGCACGCCCACATCATTGTCCTCGTCGTCGTCGTCTTCATCGTCGTCATCCTCATCATCATCAGGTCCAAAGTAAGTGATGGGTATGGAGCGCACCGAATCATTCGAATCACCATTGATGTTAGCTGCCGCCGCTACCGAATCCGCATTTGCCGCAGCTGTTTCCGTGGTTAACGCATCCAATCCAGTGCCAATAGCCGTACCTTCACCTTAAGTCCAATAAACAATTATATTTTTTAGTATGTTATGTTATTAACAGATTTTATACGGCATTTTCGACTGTGTCTTACACTCCAAATCCTAAATATATCTTTTCCTAGATATTTTCTGCCATTAAAGCAGATCGGAACGAAATATACCTCGCAAATGACTCGTCAACGAGATCTTTGAAAATATGTTCGCAACCCTTTCAATTCCATCATTTTCCACCCATTTTCCGATCACGGAGAATCGAGCTCCAAGACCTGCATTGATTATTCCGTTCGAAGGCGAGCCTGAGCTTTGCAAATGGGAATAGAAAATCAAATAGAGAAAAATGTCTATCGAAATTCTAATATGAACATGTCGTTGAATTTCAAATTCATTCTTGAATATTTTTAAACTAAGTACGAAACGGGCTTTTTCATAACTGAATATTTTGTGACGCATATAGGTAGAGGGACAAATACTTATTCTAAAAACCTGCTAACTACATGGAAACGGAAAAGAATCAAAGTTCTTAGGCAATTCGTTTCAGTTGATGCAATTTCGAACTTGGCTGCTGTTTAACACCTTTTTGGTTTGTGCTTAATCTAAGCAGAAAGAAGAATTTTTTTTTTCCGTTGAGTGCAAACACTTTGGGCGAAAACTTACACTTAATTTGATTGAGAAAGGCCATGGCCTTGCGCTTGCGTTCCAGCTGCAGCTGCTTCTCGCGCGACATTATGCCGTTAAGCTTATCACGTGCGATCTGTGCCAGTTTATCCTTGACACGCTCCTCGGCTATAGCGGAGGGAAGAAAGTCACAAGTTAGAACAGATGTGTTGCTCTATAGCCCTCTCTTTCCTTCTGGCTCTCTCACTCTAATCGATACGCACCCTGTCGTTGCTCTTTGAGTGGTGAAGACGCTGTCGTTGCCGGAGTGGCTTTTGGGGCGCCAGTTCTGGCCAGCAGCTGCGTCTCCACTTGCTTGATGGCGCGTTGCACGCTATCTGGCATGCCAGGACGCGCTTGCTCGGCACTTGATTTGGCCTTCAGTTCATCATCATCGCTCGCCTCCAGTGGCAGTACCGGCTGCAGCGACGCGTTCTCATCGCGTGCGCGTATAGCGAAGCTCACGTGCGCTGCAAAAGATTATGGAAATGAGGTCTCTGCTTTCTACAGCATGTGCTGGCTACACGCACCCTTTTCAGTCGCACCAGCTCCAGCAGTTGCATTTGCGCCACCAAGACCCTTTTTGCTTATCAGTGCAGCAGCAACGGCAGCCGCTTTGCGCGTTTTCTCCTCCTTAGAAGCGGCGTCCACATCGCCGGTTATTTTGTACATGTAATACGCATAGAACTTGTGGTCCGGCAGCAAAAAATTGAAACGTTCGACGCTCTTGGTGCGCAGAGTCTCCTCAAACTGGCGACCGTTCTTAATTACATACGTGGCCGTCTTGTCGATGATGTGGCGCAGCGTCTCCTCTGGCAGAGGAAAAGTTAAAAGCGGTGGCGGTGCTAGCACCGCAGTGGTTTTCTTCGTGGCGGTGGTCGGAGTGGCAGTGGCGGTGACTGTTTGCGTGGCTTCCTGGGAGCCTTGTTTACTGTTGTCATCGTCCGCGTCCTGCTCATCGTCGCTATCGGAGCTATAATTTTGGGCAAGCGCCAGAGCACTGGTGTTTTTTAATAGCTCAACCTTAGGCGGCGCATCGTTGGCGTTGTCCTCCTCCGCCTCGTGGGCAAATGTGCTGCCATTGTACTGCAACAGGACGGGCGTAAATTCGCCGTTGGATGCTGGGGCGGCAATGCTGCTTTGACTCTGGCCCTCGGACTTGCAGCTGGGCGTCGGCGAGGCGGTTCCGTTGGAATGCTGTGAAGCGTTCTCATCGTCCAATACTGTCTGCAGCGGAACACCTTTGATTTTACTGATGAGCTGGGTGTAGGCGCAATTGGCCGACGGTTTGTACTTGATGGTGGGCACCGTTATGATCTGCTGGCTACGCTTCGGACTGCTCAAAGATGCGCTCCCCTCGCCTGCCCCATTGGCCGTGTCCGTTGTCGCCGGCGGCGCTGAGGCCGCATACTTGCCTTGCTTAATGGCAGACAGCAGATGGCGATAATATGGTTGCAACTGGCCGCCCTGCGACAGAAAATCAAACTGTGCATTGTTGGCTTGCTTGGCTTTGATCAGGATCTCCATCTGGGCGCCCTGGGTGGCAATGAAACGTGCCGTCTTCTCAATAATTGCATGCTGCTTCATTGTCTCCGGCTACATGATGATGAAATGCGGGAATTTCCATTTGGATTTGTTATTATATTTTGGCAATTGCAATTGACTCCTTACCAACTGCATGCCCGGAGCGGGCGCCACGAGAAGACTGGGTGGCAGTGTGTACGGTAGCTCGGATTCCTCGGCCGGTGTCGATGACTCCGACGTTGGTGAGGTGACAGCATCTGCACCAGATGAGCTACATGTTGATTGGCCATCGTAATGGAAATCGACTTGGCTATAGTTGCCACCGGATGTCTCCTGTTGCAGACGCTTCAGATCCTCCTCTGTACGTTTATATATGTGTATGTGTGTGTGTGTGAGTGTGTGAAAGTTTGTGCGTATGTAGTGTTGGCAAAAATAAGAAAACAAGACAAACGGCGCGACTTTAGTACAAAAACAACAGCAACAAATGCCGCACGGCACAAAAAAAAGAATAGTTGAATACACATAAAAGAACCGTAGAATAAATATTCTTGACATTGAGTTTTGATTTGTTAAAAGCTTCAATTTCTGTTGTTTTTTTTTTTCTTTTCATTTTTAGCTTTCGTTGGAGCTCAGTTCTATGTGCAGTCTTCAAGAGATTATTAGGGAAAGTTACAGAGAGAAAGGACTCCCCAATGTGCCGCAGCAGCAGCATCTGCAAAAAATTGTTGAATTGTTAAATGTCAAGTGGTTTTTATTTACCTGAACCACGGCGGCACCCACCACAAGGCATTGGATGAAACTTACATTCATTATCATTGTTGTTGTTGCTGCTGTTGTTGGTTTGGGTTGGTTTTTGATCATTTTTTTTTTGCTGCTACTTGCATTTGACTTGATTTCTACGCTTCTATTTGTGCTTGTTTCTTGTTCTTGTTTCTGTTCTCGTTAATATTTTGTCTTGAATTTTGGTCTTGATATATGTATATATTTTTTTTGTTCAATTTGAGCTTGACTTTTCGTTATGAAATCGGTATTTCTTGGCACTTAGAATTTAAATAGTAGTACATACAATTCGCATTGAGTAGGCGGTGCATACGGCATACCGGCAACTGCACTTACCTTGCTGCAGCCGTAGCTCTTCTTCGTTGTTGTATAGGAACAGATAGCGCTCCTCTTCGCACAGCTGCTCCGCCCGCTGCTCCTCGGCGCTGAGATATTCAAGACGATTTCCATAGCCACCAGGTGGTGCCTCATAGGTAGAAAGTTCGCACAGCGCTCCACGCACGTCATATCTGTATAAATACGTGTGTGGGTGTGTGTGTGTGTGTGTGTGTGTGTTCCAAAGAAAAGAATAAGAGAAATATAAACAGGAAAGAGAACGTTGTTAGTTAACAAAATCAAAATTGTGATGCTGCTTGTGAGAGCCACGCACACAAACAAACACTCACACACACACACACACTCACTCGCACACACACACACAAATCAAATCAAATTAAAATAGATCTTTCGATCTATTAAAACCGAAAAGAAGTATATGCATCTCGATCAAATAGCTTCACACAGTTGTTAAATAAATTGTATTTTTGTTAAATTAAATGTCTATAATTATGTATATATGTATAAATATATATATATATATATATTTGCATATAAATATATCAATTATTATGTCTTAATCATTCATACATACCGCTCCGGTTGCTAAAAAAAAGTTAATTGTTTTACGATTACAGTTTAAATTTTTGTTTAAAAATATATTACAGTTTGCGAAGCACTGAAAAGAGCTGTTATTACAATGAGAAAACGATAGCTTTTACAGTTGCAGAGTCAACGTCAGTTGGGTCTGTTTCGCTGCCCCCTTACCACCCGGCCAGTCCATAAGTCAGTTAACTTGTGTTCGTAGGATAGGACCTAATGAAATACTTGACAACTTTCAATATGGTTTTGACTCTAGTCGAGTTTCCAGTAGGGAGTTTTTTAAGTTAAGCTTCTGGAAATATAGTACAGTTCGAGTCTCGTTCAGTTCGGGTTAATTTCCGGTAGGTTTTGTAGTTTGGTTTCCTCAAACATAACTACATATATTCTAGGATAAATATGATAGTTATGGGACTGGCAAATGTACCAGTTGTTCGGTTTTTCTTCTTCTGGCACATAAACATATGGGATCCAAGGTGTTACATACATATGTGTATACACATACAAGTACATTATGTATGTGGGTATAGCGTATTATAGTATAATTAAGTTTAGTGCCGGTGGCAGGCAACAATTATTAACCTGTCTATTTTGAGATTTACATCGCCCATCCAGGGTATCAGCTGTTTGCCATGATCCATCTCGCGCGCCTTCTCATCGTCACGGAATATCTTGCACGCATAGCCAAAAACGAGCAGCTCCAGTGGAGGCTGTCGCGGATCCGTTGATGCAGCGCCATACGGTAACCCATTGGCGCCCACGCCGGAAGCTGTTGCTGCGCCTCCTGCGGCGGCTCCTGTTTTGCGCAAAATGCCATTGAGGCTGCCGCCAGCGTACTCACGTACCATGGCGTTGCTGCCGCAGGTACGCATATTATAGGGCATCATTTATTTATTCGCAATGCGCATTAAAACACATACACACACACACACACACTACGTTAGGTTTAAGCACTTTTATATATTGAAATCAGTTCGCATTTTCTGCTATCAAATGCGTTTTTCTTGTTGATGTTGATATGCATGTGCAAAGACCAGACTAGGGTTGAATAGAATGGTATCGATGTATCAACCTTATCGATACTTTCATTTCCTACCACTGGCGATATATGGCCAGTATGCTGATCACGCTAGCAAAACGGACACAATAAATCGATGTCGATAACAAAATATTGTTTGTCGGTCATTTTTTGGCGGTTGTCTTCAAATATAAAAAAGATGGTAAAATTGTAATACAATTTTTATAATCGAGTATTTAACTTAATACGCAGATTTTGATTTTCACTTTCAATGCACACGGAAGGGCTAAGTCTTTACATTCGGGAACTTTAGTGTGCGTATCTTGGAGTAGATGGTATCCCAGTCAACATAGGCTCCTATGAGATGCCGCTTGTTTTGCGCTGAATCCTCGTATGCGGTACGTCCGTGCAGCATTCGAAGATTGTTAAAAACAAATACATCACCAGGGCGCGTCTTGAACTCCACAGCTTCGGCCTGGGCCAGCTGAAGGAACTTATCGTACGCCTCATACCAGGCTAATGCATGCTCCAAAGGCACTGTGAAGCGACTGTCACGTTTGGTGGTGTTCTGATTGATGCGTGCAAAGTGTCCATCGATGTCCAGGCAAATGACAGGCGCACGCCACAGACTGTGGAACGGTTTGCCGGCGTCTCCATCGTGTCCAATGTCATACCAGTTAACAGGTATGGTGCGCAGCAGTTCGTAATACTCCGGATGCTCTCGACGCATCTTATCGGCTATAAAGAAGCCATCGGTCATTGTATTGGCGCCACCCGGCGACTCCGATTGCACCAGCGTATGCAAAATGTTAATGCCCGCCTTGTACTCATAGTAGGGCATGTCTGTGTGCAGCGGCAGCGGCGTCATCAAGTACGCATAGTTTCCAGCATTGGGCTTCGACTTGACCTCAAACACATCCCTGCTCCAGAATAAAAACCGATTGCATATATTATGCGCTCAAAGGAAATCTGATTTGGATTTACCCGTAGGTGGTGTGCTTGATGTACCCAATGCGTTCGGCCAGATGGCACACGACTTGGGTATCGTGGGGCGCCTCACGCAGAAGCGCAAAGCCATGCACAGCCAGCGCCTCGAGCCAGGCGCGCAGAACTGCATCCTTCTTGATCACATCCTGGTAAGCGAATTCACGAGAAACTGCACCAAACTGCGGCTTGCCCCAGAGCTGAGCCGGTTGCTTGTAAACCTCGTCCAGATATCGTTGCCTGGCCTCTGCGCCGAAGTCCCGCTGCTGCAACCAGTCGAGGTCATAGCTAGAGTTGTGAGCATCCTGCCAGCTGACAATGAGCTGCTGACGCTGCTCATCGTAGCTGACGCGCTCCGGTTGTACGTGCAGCGGGCTGCGATCCCAGTGGCTCTTGCGTGCTCTAGTCGCCGCATGGAAACACTCCGAGCACTGGCAATTGTCACGCAGCCAAATGCTCGGGTACTTGAGTTGCCGTCCGTCTGGCTGTGTTAGCTCCACGTAACGCTGCTCCAACAGTCTGGCCGTAATGCCATGGCTGGCGTGGCGCTTAAGCTGCCGGCCCAGCAGCTGGCCAATCATGTGTTTACAGCTCAGCATATGTTCAAATACTGAACTGTGATCGGGGAACAGTCGATGGCCGATAATTAATTTTGCTTATCAACAAGTGTAACCAGCCGCACGTGCGATAAGTCATTGCCATCCAAATACGCTTATCACTGCTCTTGTGCTGTTCCTACTCCTTCTACTCTTCCTCCTCCTCCTCCTCCTCCTTCTCCGCCTCTATCGTCTTCGTCTTCGTTTCTTTGTCCGTCCAGTCTTATCACCTGCACAATCGCCTCAGAGCGCTCTGGCCAGCACTCGTTTTGTGTGTCGACTTGGAAGCGTCGTTTCGACCCGCACAAAGCACACTGCAAGTGTAGGCGAGCGTGTTCGTCAATGTTGGCACTGGATGCGGCATCTTTTTGGACAGCGTCGTCAGTCTCATGGTGGCCCTTGTTGCGCTTGCCACGCAAACGGCGATGGCGGCGTTTGCCGGTTGTGCTTGTTGCCGTCGCAGTGGCTGCCTCCACGGGAATCACCTGCTGCTGCTGCTGCTGCAGCTGTTTTTGCTTCTGGGCCAGCTTTAGCGACGTATTAACGCCCGGCAGCAACGGCAAGGAGCAGCGTTTGCACAGCGTGCGTTTCAGCGCCGGCGACCTGCCTCAAGCATTGACAAGAATTAGCTATAATAAAAGACACAGAATCAACTCAGAGCTCACATGTGCATCAGCGCCTTTGTGCCCACGTTGCGACAGAGCTTGCCGTAGTAGGCGGCAAGGGTGTTGTTGTTGCTGTGCGCCATCAAGTTTGACGCCTGATAAAGGAAGTTCATTCTGGAGCAAACTTGACGCTGTGTGAGGGCTTTGCGCTTGCCCTTATTGTTGCCCATGATTGAAACTTGTTTTCGTATATGAGATGCGTTTTAAATACGTTAGCTTAATATTTAACAATAAACGTAGGACACATGTAGTCGGTATTTCATATTCGAACTAATAATCGCTTGCAATTTCGATATGCATGGTGTAATCGATAGTTTAAACGATAGATCCCAGTTTGCCGCTTGAAACAAATAATTTGTACCAATAATTATAGAATTTAGGTTTAGGCTCATTTTCGCTGATAAAGCAACATGATTTTTTTACTCCATTTTTTTTTCAGTTTAATCAATTACTTAATGTTTTCCATATTCGGTAAAGTTAATAAAAAAATGTACCAATATGTGTATCAACACGTAGCTAAGTAATGTACCAATTTTGGTACATTGATGCCAGCCACATGTAGCAATCACTGAGCCACACTGAGCAATTGCCGTTCACAGTGCCACACGGCCTCGCCGAACAGCTGTCCGTTTCCCGCCTTAATTCGATCCCGCAGCTGTGGAGCATGTAGGCCACAAAGAGCGGAGAGCCCTGTTAGAAAGTGCAATCAAAAGCGAATATAACAAAATGCAACGCGCAAATAGGGCCATTTAAGTGCCGCAACAGCAACAATTGCATTGATTAAGTTAATTGACGCTTAAAGACCACAAGTGTCGCAACCTGACCTATATAACTCATACTTGTATTTAAAATATTGTTTTTTGTGTGTCTTTGTACCGATTTGTGACTCTTCACGCAGCGGAATTAACTGTGCGTGCGGCGAAAATGTTCATACAGGACCTAAAGAATGACTTTTACAGACAACTGATTGGCAAACGGATTTTGATCATAGTAAACTATGACGTCGACGCGATCTGCGCCAGCAAAATTCTGCAATCGCTCTTTAAGTACGATCACATGCTGTACACTGTGGTGCCCATTATGGGCGTAACTGGATTGCGACGTGCCTATTCGGAGCACCAGGGCGATGTTAAATATGTGCTGCTGGTCAATTGCGGCGGATGTGTTGACATTGTGGAGCTGCTGCAGCCGGCAGAGGATGTCACATTTTACATATGCGATTCCCATCGGCCGCTGGACGTCTGCAATGTTTACAGCGATCGACAGGTTTGCATTTTAGGCGATCCAGCCCTAGAGGAGAACATACCAGCATTTGAAACTATATTCTATGACTCGGATGGCGAGGATGAGGACGACAATGAAGATGGGGATGGGGAGGATGGAGACAGCGGTGCTGGCGATTCGGATGACGGTCAAGGTGACGGCGACAGCGTCGAGAGGGAGCGCGCGCCCAAGCTAAGCCGGATGCAGCGGCACGAGCAGCGGGTCATGCGTCAGAGGGCAAGACGGCAATGGGAATCGGAACGGGATCGCATCATGTTCGACTATACACAATTCAGCTACTATGGCCGATCAACGGCATTGTACATCTTCGAGCTAGCCTGGAAGCTGTCCAAGGACAACATGGATCTGCTGTGGTGGGCCATTGTAGGCATTAGCGAGCAGCTGCTGCTGGGCAAGATCGAGAGCGGCGCCTACACACTCGAGCTGGAGCACATACAGTCGCACGTGTCGCGTCTGACCAACAAGACTAATGATCAAAACACAATGAGTGCCTCGAAGATCAGCTTTGAGAACGATCTACACCTAGTCCTGTATAGACACTGGACCGTAACCGAGTCAATGCGGTAAGTGAAGACAAGGGATATCTAATTGTTCGGCTTATTTGTATATTTTATTGTCAGCTACTCGCGCTACTCCGCCTGTCAGATGAAGCTGTGGACCTTGAGGGGCGAGAAGCGTCTACATGAGCTGCTCGTCGAAATGGGCCTGCCACTGGTGCATGCGCGCCAAACATACAGCGCCATGGATCTGGTTCTGCGCAAAGAATTCTATTCTATGGTGGAGCAGCTGGCCGAGAAGTATGGCATACCAGATATTGTCTATGGCACCTTCACGCTCAGCTATGGCTATCGCAGCCGTTATGCTGCCGCCGACTATGTCTATGCTCTGTTGGCAATACTGCAGTCGGTTAAGAAGCATAAAACACCTGAGGATTGTTTTATGGAAGCGTCGGATGCGCTGACCCGCCAGCATAGGCAGCTACTTAATGTGGGAATTGATAATGCCAAGCTGCTGCATGCGGCTATCTTTCGGCAGGTGCAAAGCTGTCTGGAGGCACATCAGGTACATTCGACTGGATCCTTTTTCTATTATGTGCTACAGGAGGAGCACGCCTTCTTCTCCTATCCATATGCGCTGGCGCTGCTCGCGAAATTCGTGTTGCATGGTCATGTGGCAACGACGAGAGTGCGTCAGGCACCGGATCTACCGCTTATTGCCACCTGCCCGCTAGATGCGACGCAGGGTATGTGCCTGCTGGTGGGCATAGCGCCAGTGCGCGAGGACTCGCCAAAGAACTTCTTTGGCAAGGCGTTCGACCAGGCGGCACAGAAGAGCAAGACCAGCCTGCTGCAAGACTTCTTTGAGCCGTCTATCGTCCAGCTGCGTCAGAGCGACCTGACCCGATTTCTAGATGCGTTGACCGTGCTCCTCACATAAGCTCATTGCGCACTCCCCTGTGTTTTCTAGATGTAGTCTCTAGTTTAGCCGTTAAGACAGTTTATTGATGCAACGACCTTTGCTAATCCAGCCAATTTTATTTAATATAATCTAATTTATAACGACAATTGTTTTTAGTATGATAGCCTTTTTTTTCGCCAACGCGCTTAGGACTACCGATAGAAAATTAATATATATATATATAGCCATAAGACTTCAAACTATGTAAAACGGACTTTAGAATTGAATATTTCGAAATAGATTAAGTCATGTGTTTGTTGCATTCGATTTGAAATTGTGTAAAGCAGACTTTAAATATACGATACATGTGTTTACCATAGAACCACAGTTTTGGTCTAATGATAAATTTCCATGCGCAAGTGTGGAAAATTGGTGGAAAAACGGTGAATAGAACTATTTGGTTTTTCTTCACGATATCTCTCTCTTTAAGCCAAGCAAAAATGCTCTAGTCGAGAATGCCCGACTCAGTTCCAAATTGAAGTATTTACAAAAAATAACCTCTGCAAGTTTGGTGTTTTTTTTTTATCATTTTAATAAGTAAATGCCTTAAATGAGACTGAATGTTATATTAGATGAATATGACCTTTGTTATTGACGAGACGTGCTGCAAAATGGCAGAATATCGAATTCATTTTAGAACCTCTACCTCTAATTCTCTTGGCAGGACGGGTTCATAAAAACGGACATGGAACCAATCAGCTCGTCGTTCCGGTCAAGAGTATATATAATTTGAGATTGAAATCAATCCTGCCTTTTATATACTTATATTAAACTATAATATTTATTCTTTAGGGTGTTGTGCGGAAACAAACAAAAAAAAAGTGTTGCTCTATATGCATCTCAATTTTTTCAGATATGTAGATATGTACATTGCGAACAGGACTTATTTCAAATGAGACTACAAAACAAAATAACTCCGTGCTTAACTACTACCGCTCCACGGCCACTTGTTGCTGCAGGCATTGCAATGGTTCTCCATGCAAAATGCGCGCAGCACCCAAGCACGCCGCATCGTCATAGAAGACAGCATACTGCCCCGGTGTGATGGCGCGCAGTGGTGCATCCAGCTGTACTTCGAAGGGACGCAGCTGGCATTCGACCAGTGGCTTTGTGTGCTGAAAGCGAAAGCGGCAACGCAGGCGGCCTTTTGTGGCCAATTGCTGACGTGCCCGGTTGCACAGCCAGTTGAGTTCGCCAATGTGAATGCGGGTGCTTAGCAGCGCGGGATGTTCGTGGCCGGAGGCCACGTAAATGATATTGCTGGCTGCATCTTTTCGTGCCACAAAGTACGGCTGCAAATGAGAGCTTAGCCGGCAGCGCTGTCCCACGGTCCACTGGTGAATGCCCTCGTGTGTGCCCACAACGACGCCGCTATCGACATCCACAAAGTGTCCCGGTTTGGAGCTGATGTACTGTCAAAGGTGATATTTCCGATTTAAAGTTATTTGACAATATTTGTGCGACTATTGGATTACCTCCTGTATAAAGGCCTTGAAGTCGCGCTTGCCCACAAAGCAGATGCCGGTGCTCTCCCGCTTTTCGGCCAACCGATGCAGGCCGATGCGGCGCGCCAGCTGCTTAACCTCTGTCTTCTTCAATCCACCCAGCGGGAACATTGTGCGCTGCAGTGCTGCATGTGCTATGCCAGATAGAAAGAAGGTCTGATCCTTAAATGTGTCGGCAGGTATGAGCAGGCGTACATCTTCTGGGGTCTGGCTGGAGCCATGCTCCAAAAAGTCTCCCAGACTGTTGCGGGCATAATGGCCAGTGGCGACGGCATCATATTGCAAGGTATGCAGGGCGTGCCGATGGAACAGATCGAACTTTATATGCTTGTTACACAATATATCCGGATTGGGCGTCAGGCCCTGCTGATAGTCATCTAGAAACTGGCTAAACACCGCTGTCCAGTATTGCTTCACATAGTTCACTTGGCGCAGCTCGATTTGCAGGTGCCGGCAAGCCAGTTCCGCATCCTTTAAATCCTGCTCTCCGCTGCAGCGGCCGGCTTCGTCGTGCTCGTCCCAGTTGCGCATAAACACGCCGAGCACATTGTAGCCGCGCTCCTTGAGCAGATGGGCGCTGACAGCACTGTCCACGCCCCCCGACATGCCCACCACAACATTTCGTATCATGATAATGTTTCCCACATTTAGCCAGCCTGTTATCTATCACAAACGTATTTTAACATTGGACTGTTTTGGTTTAAGGTGTGACCACGTTAGCCAATGCTATATTTTTCGGAGTCAAAATGGAATGCGTATATGTGCTAGTATTTCTTAGGGTATTCCCAAATACTGGTTGGCTTTGAAAATGCTTTAAAAGCGCGCGCGCAAAATTGATTGGAATTCACGAAATCTTATCAAAAAAATCAACAATTATACACTTTTAAAATCGGATTTAGAACTTCATTGTACTAACATTTTCTTAAAAAAAATTGTACCTAAGCACCTTAGTCTATAGATTGATCAGGATGACGAATTGAGTGTACAAAAGATATTCTTAGATATTCTTATGAAACTTGACGGCTTGAAACAGTAAATAGTCTGAAGTTGACCAGAATTAACCGATATTTCATACAGTTTCCATATAAGCTATTGGTCGAAATATTAGATATTGTATGAACATCGTTTTATTCCCAACATCAGCAAATCAGCTAAGAGCATTACTATCCTCGTTACTGAAGCAGACGATGGAGAACGATGGATCAGTGAGTTTGGTATAAAACGTTTTCTAAAAAACTTGGCTAGTTAATTTTACGAGTTTATGAACCTTTTATTTTTCTGAACACATTACTTGTTAGATCAAGAAATTCGTCGAAAAATCAAAAAAATTAATAATGTCCTCGTATAGGTCTCCATCACGTATACGAGAAACGAAATTTTTGTTTCAGAACGCCCCTTGTATTTGTGTAAAATACCGTTACTTTTGGCATTTGCTCGCTTTGAGTCGACTGGTCACACTGCTGCTGTCTCTGGCTACATATGCCGTATTTACAGTTAGTTTGTTCGTCGTCTTCGTCGCGTTCGGTTGCGAGCTTTCGTGTGGAGTTTATTTTTGTGTTTTTAGAAGTTCAACGAATTTCTGATTTTTCGAAGTGCTTGCACACGTACATAAACAAAAAAACGTTACCAAATATTTTTTTTAAAGTGCTTGGGTATGTGATTGGGTTTAATAACCGTGTAAAACATAAGTTAATTGCAGTATCTGCAGTTCTGTGCGGCATTTTTTTTTTTTTGATTTTTTGATTCTACGAACTGTTGACTTATATTTAATGTTTATAATTCCTTTTAGAGTTTCTATCGTACAGCTGTTGGAACCGTAAACTTCAATTGAAAGCGTATAAGCTGCGTCGAGCATCAGTTAAAAAGGTAAGCGCATTTTTAAATTCCCGTACAATAGTCTGCACACGAATTGAGGTTATGTTTGCAGCGTTGATCAACTCGCTGTGCTTACGGTTTTTAAGGTTATAATTGGGGGATTTCATTTTGTTTGCACGTGCATATTTAGAAATTCAAATTTAATCAAAGCGCGCCCCGACAGGACGTTGCAGCATGTGCAAGTCGGAAAGAGCGGGACCTAAGTAAATATAGTTATAATTTTTAATATATGTATGTATATATGTACATACATACTTTTTGGGATTTCAAAAGGTTTTCACTCGATGCTAAAAGTTAATTATTTGCAGCGTTTTGCACAGGCTTATTTAATTGAAAACTTTTTCTTGCGGTACCCAACCGAGCTGTCAAAACCACGTGTCTTGAGTTGTCTAAAAGGCGAATGCGTACAAAAGAAAATATTTTCTAAAAGGTTATTTAAGCAGCTTGGACAAAGAACAGTCAAGAATGGCCACAAAGTCCTTAATTAAGAATTAAATACAAATACAATAATAACAAAAAAAAAGAACACAATTGCCCAGTGCGGTAGACATGGGGATTAAAAGTGGAAACAGCGAGCCAAAATCCAAGCTGGGGTCGTGTTAATTGTGTTAGCCAAGAACTTAACTTTTAAAAGTGGGCCTGATTGGACCAAAGCAGCCATAAACTGCGGGCAAATCCTTTAAGTAAAATAAACACATTTTATCTTGAAGTTTCTAGCCTCTGCATTTTGGGTCTGCCTCTGGGGTTTCTTTCCTTTCCCTTTTATTTTTTGGTATTTATTTTAGTGCAATTCAAGTTGTGCTTGAACTTTGTCTAGGCTTGAAAGAAGGCCAAAAACATTTGCCAAGGTTGTCCAGCAATTTATTTTATATATGTATACATATATGTTCTTTTTTTTTTTTTGGCTGTCTGCGTATACTCTTGTCATATATATATGTATCATACATAATATATAAAAATGTCCTTCATGAAAGAAAAAAAAAAAAAGGAATGCTGACACTTTGAGCCGTGAACTGTTGTTGTTTTATAGCAGAGCTCGAAAAAAAACCCAAATGAAAAAATATATGGACCAAAATACTGCACAAAAGTTATATACATAAAGTGCGGGGGAGGGGGATGTGGCTAGGTGCAAATGCATAATAATAGATGGCTGCAATTTGCAAGGGAAACGGAAACAATTAGGAAATAGAAACAGCGACCGGAAATGTAAGCAGCAAGCTGGCTACAGTCGACACAGAAGGGGGTGTAGAGAGGGGGGCTTAAGAGTTATTAGCCTAAAAATCCGGGCATGTATATACATAAGTATGTGTGTGTGTGGGTGTAGAGCTGAACAGGTGTATGTATGACAGTTCTTTTGGCCACAACAATTAAACGAGACTCGAAACGGACGACACATTAATCAAGAGCATGCCCAGGATATAGAGGGTAGAGTGGAGTGGTGGGGAATGGGGGTTGGGGGAAACGCAAGTGACAAATAGGCGTAGCTGCAGGTCATTCAAAGCTACTACAACAATTGGGGTCCTTCTCGTCAGTTTCATCAGTTAAATGGAAACCTTAACCCAAAAAGAATGGAAACGGAAACGGCAAAGTGGTTACCCCCTCAAAAAGGGGCATGTCAAACTGTTTTGCAGGAAAACGGGTTTTAAGGTTTTGAGGCCACTTTGCTTGATTCATTTAGCAATTTGCCAGACATAAGAACATGGAAAATTGAATCGCTCAGCCCATTTTGGGCACAGCACATCCTTTGGCCTGGCAACCTTCCTTTTTTTCTTTTTGTTGAGTTGATTTTGTGGCTTCTAGGTCGCCTTTTGCGCGACTTTGTGTAACAAAGAAAACAAAAACAATTTCCGCCAAATTTGCGAATGTATTTTGTTTATGAAATGACGCACGTGGCGGCCGGCTCGGGTTGCGGGTTGCGGATAGCGGGTGTGCACTGTGCACTCAAAGCGCTGGGCGTGGTCGCACTTGAAACTTTACCAACTCTTGTTCTTGTGCTTGTTGCTGCTGCTGCTGCTGCTGCTGCTGTTTGTTGTCGTTTGTAGCTGGCTACGCTTATTAAATTTGTTTGCTGTGTTCTTTTTTTATTTTTTTTGGGAGGGGGGCTGCTTATTGTAAAGCTGAAGACAACAGCTCCCACAGCAGCTCCTTCACCCACTCCCACTCCGAGCGTGAACTTTTGGTTAGTATCTTAAAGCGAAATTGTGTCCCATACAAATGCTTTCAACCTGAAAACAGGCGCTCGGCGCTTGGCAGGCAGCCACATGCTCGATTCTTGAGTTTGTTTTCATTTAATCTCTTATGCATACAGTTAAGCTTTTTAGCTTTGATTACGCTTAATTGCCTAACATCAGGTTATCGTCAGTCGCGGGGCATCCAATGACGGGCTCAGTCCTTAAAGATTATGAGTTGTTCAAAATGATCCGCACCAGGTCTTTGAACCCCCACAAAAAAATATGGTGGTTCATTTCACAACTCGAACCTCCTTACCGTACGGTTCGGTGCATGAAGCTGGTTTTTCACACATTTTAAGCTTGAATATTTAATTCTAGTGATATTTTCATATGTGTCTATATTTTCATATAGAAGTTAGCTTTAAAAAGAAAAAAATACTTTATCTGTATATACTATTTTAGAAGCTACATGTCAAATTTAATGACTCCAGTTCAGAGATTTGGATATTGATTATCGACCGACGGAAGGACGGACAGGCAGACAGACAGACAGACAGACAGACGGACAGACAGGCAGACGGACGGACGGGCGGACAGACAGACGGATGGACAGATTGACAGACAGGCAGACGGACGGGCGGACAGACAGACGGACGGATGGACAGACAGACAGACAGACGGACGGACGGACGGAGCGATGGATAGACCGACATACATACATCGCTAGGTCGACTCGGTTATTGATGCTGACCAAGAATATACATATATACTTTCGACCCCATGAAGATGCTTCCTTCTGCCTGTTACATACATTTGCACAAACCCATTATACCCTGTTTAACCATTTTCAGGGTGTAAAAAGAAACTTCGAACCGGTTCGGTTTAAAACCGATTTGTAGCCCTGCCTTGCACGCAGTAACCACCTCTTGAACCAAAGCATTATCTTGGTATTTGCATAACTGTTAGTGGGCGTGGCAGGATCTTTTTAAAAGAATGTAACAACAATCAATTATCATCAGTAATTTAACAAATTGAGTCCGGCAACTATAACATCAAAATTGTGAACGGTTGGCCGAGTGGGCGTGGTTATGGTAGCAAAATAATATATAAAAAAAAATGCATACATTTTATTGGTAAAAAGAACTCACGTTTTGTGCATAATACAAGAGTCATGCAAGCAAACGCTTTTTGTCAAATTAATTTTTCTCGTTGTATTTATTAATATTAAAAATGGGATGCGGGGTATTTAAAAGTAAAGCAGTGACGACTTTTATTTTAATTTTCTTTTAGCTTAAGAAAAAATGTAGATAAAACTTGGTTGAAAAGAAAGTTTGTGGGAGGAAAATTTCAATTATAGCCAGAATTGCAACGAATCAGAGTATTTGCATTGTTGCAGTGCAAAAAAGCACGCACACATACACGCACAGGCATAAACACACACATGCACACACTCGCACACACACATGGTACAATTTGCCTGTCATTGGGCTGTCAAGCTGGCTAAAATGTAATTTAAATCATAAATATAATTTTCATTTAATGAATTGGATCATGCAGCAAGTTCCTTGAGATGCCCGAGTGTATGTGCCTGCATGTGTGCGCTCTTCACTGCATAAGATACACGCACACACACACACTCACACATGTGGACACTTGCAGCCGCCGTCTGGTGGCATCTCTGACGTGCAACAAATATTTTACATGAATGACTCAAAGGCAGCAAAGATGAAAAATTTTGTAAAGCAGCAACAACAAATGACTGCAAAACTTTTCACATGAGAAACTTTCGCACCCCACACACTAAACCCATTTGCCATGCCCCCACCTCTCCCCCCTAAACCCGCAACTAGCACGCTCGCTACTTTTGGCATCATCAACTTGATTAAGTGCACAACTTTGCATTGATGTTTGTTATGGAATATATGAATAGCTGGTATCTGCTAATGCTAAAGATAGCAAGTTTCCGTAAAAAAGCTTAAAAGCTTCTGCTGCAGCAATATTCATATACTCGTGATCGAGCAGGGCTCGGGCTAATCCCGTGCCCCCTGCTGCCAAGCTCGGCTTATGGCTACTGATTATGCAATACAGTGGCTGTCAACTGTCGCCCCACCAGTCCCATATACCACACAACCTATAGCCCATCGCCCGTCGGCCGTTGGCTGTCGCCTGTCGTCCGTCCAGGTGAGCAGCTGGTGCGGCAGGCAGTTACGTATACAAAAGAGCAAAAACTGCAACACAATGGCGACCTGCGGGCAAAGAGTCAAGCGGCGGTGCTGGAAATGGGGATGGCCTTGCATGTCCGTGTTGCATGCCACCCCAAAACCCATCCTCCAACGCCCCCCGTGTGCCGCAATGTCGCCCGCCATTGTTTGTGCGTCGTTTGGGAACAAGAACAGCATCAACAGCAACAGCAAATAAAAGTACACAAAAAAAAATATAAAAATAAAAATAACAGCAAGAACAACAAAAACGAACTGCATCCAGCAAAAGTGAAAGAGAAACATACGAAAAATTTTGGCCAAGTTTAATCCAAGTGGCTAACGAACGCCTGGCCCTGTAACCAGCCCAGCCAGCGGTAGCAGCACGTGCTATGATTCAAGGACATGACTCGATTAACGGAAGCGGAAGCGGAACTGGCTCATGGACGACCACGAGCTTATGGCCCATTTTGTTTGGCTCCAAACGACAAAAATCGATAAATATTGCATGTTTAATCGATAGATCAATTTAAGTTTGCTGCATGTCATATAAAGTCTGTCAACCTATCGATATATTATCGATAGCAAATACCATACAACTCTTTGTATCACTATAATTGTT